ACATTAAAGAATGTCACAGAAAAGAAAATATTCTTTCATAAAATACAAAATATGTAAAAAAGATGTTAACTGTGCAAAAAAATATATATTATTTAGCTATTTATTAATTCTTAATTGATATGTTTGCATATCTGAACAAATGCAAACTATATGGAAATGTTTTCTTACTTGAAGAACCAATGTTAAAGATCATATAATTTCATACAAAAATGACAAAACTGGCAATGATAAAAACAATAACAAATATAAATATATAATATTAGTATACCATTTCATCATTACACATACAGTTACGGTGCAACTTACCATTTTCTCTTTAGTGTCCTTAACATATGATGAAATGAGATCATGTAAAAAGAAGAAATTCTCAGCATCAACAGCAACAAAAATGTGGTCCTGGAATTCAGTCACAAGAGAACACTCCACCTTTGGTTTTTCATCTGCAAAATGGGAGACATTAATTGTACCTGCTTTCATTGGAAATACTGTCAGTCTTTGTTTAAGGAAATTCTCAATAGTTTTATTTCTTTATCAAATATGATAAGGAGACAGATTCCAAACTCCAAACTAAGGGGAAATCTTTTAAACAAACTATTTGTACTGGTTCATACAGCAGTAATATGTGGAGAATCAAAATTCATTCAAGGCATGTTAACTTTTTTTGCCATGAATGATTACTGAACTATAATTTGTATAAACTAATTAAACAAGAGCTTTCAAAAATATGTTGTTTTTTATTCTTCTGCCTCTAGTAATTTTTATTACATAAATGTCTCTATTTATTATTCTTTTGTTTATTAATCTTGATAGAGCATATCAAATTGCATATACAGACCTTGGAAATAGGCAATAAAGCAAGAAAGGCTGCACAAAAAGAGATAATAACACTACAAAGGTCTTGATATTGCATGATTGTTCATGCAGGCCAGGCCTATAAGACACACATCCAGGAGAGTCCCCTATCAAATAAGCCTAATGCCTGGATTTTGTCCCATGTCTAAGCCATAAGACACTCAGATCCAACTGGTTAATACTTTGTAAAAAGTAGCAGGGGACATCAAAGAATAAAATTTGGTTATCAGTAGCAGGGGACATCAAAGAATAAAATTTGGTTATCTGTGACCTCATAAAAAAAAAAATGCCACCTTACAAAGAAATTCAAACATCAGCATACTGCTACTGAATTTCAATTCACATCCTCTATGAACTACTGTCTAAAGTTGTTTTAGAAATTCCTATAAGATAGAGTTTGGAAACTATCTAATTTGTCAAAAATCAAACTCCCTGTGCTTACCCATAAAGTCTGGTGTGGTAGCTGTCTGTAAATGTTTGGTTGTGAGATGAATTTGCATTGACGGTAAAGCAAACACAGTCTCTGAGGAGTGGTTGTGATCTTGGAGTCGTGTGGAGGCTCGTTTTCCCTCAGTTGAAGAGGATGGTAAACTATCACTTCGATCAAGAGATGGGAAACGGTCCACATCTGCAGGGAATAGAAATAAAAGAAATGTAATATAAACATGTGATAAGTGATATAAAAAAAATCATCATCTAGCCATTTCTTAAAAAAAGTATAAACTAAATTGGTTAAAATACTTTACAAAAAGATTTCAACTACAAACAGTTACTTACTGTCTAGTTCAGAAGTACAGAATGCATAGTGGAACCATTCCTGTATTGTGCGGAATTGAGGAGGGAACACCATATTCCTAGTTATGCGACAAACTGTTGCCATGGAGACATGCTGAGCATGAGTCTGCTCCATGACTCCTAAGCTGAATGTCAGATTCTGTACAATGTGTGTATCACGTGGTGCTGTAAATAACAATAGTGTCATTACTGATGAGAGGCAATATCCCAAATAAACCTGAGTTTACTTAAAAGTTAATGAGATTGATGTAATGTTAAAAGGAGAGGAGTGATTAAAAGAAAGAAAAGAAATTGTTGATCATTTCATTCTCTTCACTATCACCTACTTATACATAATCAAATGAAAAACTTCTACTTTAGTGGTTTGATCATCATAGTTTAGAAAAGGATAATATTTTTCAAATATATGTCCATTATCACCATTCACTTACATGATCTGTAACTATTCAGTATACATTTAGTAGAAAACTTACGGTCTCCAGGCACTTCCTGAACTTCAGAGGTAAAGTTGATATATGGTTCCTGAAGGCTGAACAAAGCCCATGATTTGCTTTTGAAATTTAACCCATGGAAGCAAGCAAGGGATATGGTTTTCCCATGCAGCTCCAAAGACCCTCCCAGGACAGTTCCTGAGTCTGGCAAAGGCAGTGGCAGAGTAGTTAGTCTCAGCCCAGACACTCTGTGTAGGACTCCCTGCCAGTGTCTATGATGGCGTGCATCCTGACCGCTTGGCATTCCTAGAACTGTAAGAATGGAAAACAGTTCAAGAATGTGTTTCACTCGCCATATACTAAATTATAGTAAATATGAAAAACAATCTTTCACTCTAATGCCTTCTACTCACCATTAGCCATTTTTCGGTTCCCATCCTTATGCCTGTGCTTCACTGAAGACTTGTGTCTTGTTGGTTGGAGAGATGAAAAGACACGTTTGCTGGACTTGAACTGCTGTGAAAAGAATTCATCCAGTTTATGATGCATTTTCAGCAAGTCAGCTGTGGTGGATTTACTGATGATCAATTGCAGCTGATCCCACTCTAAGTCTCCAAGGATGAAGATGGTTGCCCCTCTGTTGAAGAAAAGGGTACATTTGCTTAACAAACATGTCTGCACTATAATATGGAATATAACTCACTTCACTTTCTTGGTATATGTTATCAAGACTAAACCACACTTTACCTTCGAGTGGTATCCTCATCCCCTTCAGCACACTGCTTCAGCTTCCACTCATCCCGTAATGTGACCCCAAAGGATGACACTCGCCCCATCAGCACACTGGTGCCCATGTAATCCAGACGGGACTGTGATGCAAACAGCTTTACTCCGATGGTGTGGTCTGGCTCCATACCTGGATCTTCCCTTATTTTTACTGGTAATATAAAAAAACAAAACAGATGAATACCAACTCATACCTAATTCCACATAAGGTTCATTTTCATCAAACAAGGTAAAGTCAGAAACATAATATTTTCAAAAAGCTAATATGTGTTGCAACTACCCACAAATACATTACCTGACAACCCATGCATATAAGAAAATCATACTCACAGTACATATTGATTTCTGAGAGTTCAATAATGCCACCAACTATTCCACCCTTAGCATCCAGGCCCGAGCCACCGAGACCAAGACCAATATACATGTTCTTGTGCCCAGTGCTGCCTATGGAGAGTCTTCCATCTGCCTTGAAGTCTTTGGTTGTCCATCTGGAAGTGAAAACAAGAGAACAATTGAAAAGCAAGGAAAGGAAAGGAGAGGAAAAAAGGTATAAAAATGGGAAGATGGATAGAAAAGACAGGGAAAGTAAGTAAGAAGGAAAGAAACAAAGAAAATAACAGAAATAAAGGAAACAAAAGAAAAAAAAACAAAGAAAGGAAAGCCTGAGAAAAATGGAAAGATAAAAATATAAAGCCCACTAATAAGAAGAAAGGAAAGTAAGAACAAAAAAAAAGGAAAGAAATGAGAAAAAGAGACCTTATGAAAAGAAAGAAAACAAAATAAATTGAAAACAAGAATAAAATAGAGAAAGAAATCATGAAAGAGATAAAGTAAAGGACAGAAAATGAAGCAAGAAAGAGAGAAATTGAGAAACAGGAGAGAGGAAAAGAAAACATGAGAAAAAGGGAAGAGAGAAAAAGAAAGCATGAGAAAAAGGGAAGAGGGAAAAAACTGAAGGAGAAAGAGAGACAGAGAGAGGAGGGAGTGAGAAAAAGAGAAAGAGCAAAGTCGAGATCATACTCACACGACATTTCCCATGACATTCCCCATATTCATCTGTACTCCAAGCCGTGTAAAATTCACAGCAAAGAGAACCAGAGTCTCCCAGGAGCCAGACTTGTTCATCCCTTGTGTCGTCCCTGTGGCTTCTGTGTCCTCTCCTGACCTGGTTTCAGCTTTGCTATCTGTGGCTTCTCCGGGAACATTCCCATTACCTATGTCATTTTCCTTGTCATTTATTCCTTCCTTCTTTCCTGCTGTTGTGGAAAAGAGAGAAAATCAACATCCTGACACTAAGAATATACTACAGGATAATTTGTTTACTTATCCACACCTCAAATCATCAAGGCAAAACTATCATGTTTGGAAATTTAACATTCCTTTTCCTCTTTAAAGTTCTAAAGCAAACTTACCCGACAATTTTGGGCTTTTTCTAATGTTAATATCAGAATCAAAATTGAGCCTTAGCTTGTCCCTGGCCCGACTGCCAGCCCCAGCAGTACCATGTGGCTGGCTTGAGGTGGTAGGTGTCTGTTGGCTTCCTCCACTGCCACTGCTTATGCTACCGTTATCACGACGGTTCAGATCAGTACCCTCAGCCGAGCTGTGATAAAGGCATTTATTAACATCAATAAATTTTTTCTAATTAGAAATACATATAGACTTATCTGATTATGAAAAAGACAACATGAAGAACTAGTAACATCACATTGGTACTCTGTTCTTGCCATCTAAAATATGCTACAAACACCAAATAACAAAAAAAAAAAAGCAGTGTAGAATTGAAATATAGTTAAGAGATTATCTATTCAATATATATTTTGTATATCACAATATATAAAACAATCTGTCCCTTATAACACAATGTGATGGAAATCTATCTGACTGAGACCGCATCATCCCATAGATTCCCTCCCAGATTGCAACCAACCTGGAGGAGTGACGCTTTGGGGGAACATTGTGGTTTCCTGGAGAGTCTGCTGCTGTAGCTGGACTTGTCTCATCCCACTCACTGGAGACTGCACCTCCAGTAAAATCTCCAAGAAATAGCCTCCTTACAATAGACCTCCTGTACCATGCCCGTGGGAAGGCCAGGATCTCTGTCAGCCTACGCATGTCATATTTGAAGTGCGCTGCCCCAATATCTATGATTGCTGTTGACATAAAAAAAAAGAATTAGAAATATAATAGAGGGAGGATAAGTATTTCATTATCATAAATCCTTTAGTGCATACAACCGAATCTTATGTGTAGGGTATCTTCAGCTTTCTTCAGCTGTGTTGATCTATCTTTAAACTACATCTTCTAATTAACTCACTGCTCCTGCTCCCTATTAATTAATTATTTTTTTAAATGTAGGCAATTTATGATATTCTGCTCATTCTATGATATATACAGTACTTCCATGCTTATATACTTCTATATAATCTTCATTAGACACAGTGCAAAAACAAGTTAATATTTAGACACCCATGAACAAAACCTTCTAGGAAAATCATAAACCAATAATAAAAAAAATATTTTATATATCCTACTTGAGAATCTGATAATGGCCTTGGCAGAATCAAGAGTGTTCGCAGATTTCAATTTGGTATTTGTCTCTGGCTTGAAATTTATCTTGCGTGATCTTGAAATGTGGAACTTCACAAATTCCACCATGACACTGAGGGAGTCCTTTCGTTCACTGTCAGTGAGTGCAGCCAGGGGAGATGTCGCCAGATAGGGAGCACCAGTTGCCCCACGCTGCTTCCCTCCATAAGGATGGAAGACATAAAGGGAAAAGTCTTCCAGGACTCCTGTGACACTCAGCCCTCCGATGGTTGCTTGCAGTTTGCTGTCCAATCCAGTCATTGTGCTGTTTATAAAAGAAAGTATTCTAGAGTCCAATTTTTAAAGCATATGCAAATTATAATAACTAATATTAACTGAACTTACTATTGTGATAATCTGCAAAAACATCTTATTATAGCAACACCTTCAAACAAGATTGGAGTACATTAACTTGACCATAAAATAGAAAACTCCACTTAAACGAGTTTACTTTCTTAACTAAAAGTTGATGGGGCGGCTTTAATCTCCAATGTGGACTGAAGAACAACTCACTCCCACTGAGCAGCTGTTTGTATCTGAGCATTGATAGCTATGTAATTTCATTCCCATAGTCTTTATTTGCTCAACTAACTTTGGGAGGCTCCACATGCAGATGCACATCAAGTATGCCTTGACCATCATCATTTAGCCCATAAACTGTGAACTTCCCCTCAATAGCCATGGTCTAGAGCATAAATTATAGGGTTGACAATCTTCAAGAAAGAGTTAATTGGTCATTATACCAAGATGCTGTTAATTTCAGCTTTGTATACTGAAGGTTGCCTACCAAAGATAACTCCCCTTTTCATTGTAAAGTGAAATGGTGCCCTTTTAAGCACTCTTCATTCCTTACCCATCCTCAGCTCTCTTTGAAGAAAACACCAAGTTCAGGGATGGAAGCTGCAGAAGACATTCCACACGAGATACAGGTTGACAAGAAAATCTGAAAAGAAAAGAACACGTTTAACATAAAATTTTCCTTTCATAAAGCTATTCAAACTATTTACATGACTAACTATTGTATGGCAAAGGAAACATAATGCCAAATTACATGCACCAACTGACAGAAAAATAATAAATTTTAATAACAAATATTGCACTAACCTGATTGTTGATGGCTGCATGTGGAAGTAGACAACCACATCTACAGGGAATGAAGCATAAACGTAGGGAACACCTCCACCTCCACCTGCTGTTGTTGCCTCCACTTCTACATTGTACACTGGCTCAGGTTCTGTTAAGTGAAAAAAAAAAAGTTTATATAAGTGTACAATTTTCAAGTATGACAATTTCATTTAACATTTTGCTTGACTTTACAGCATATTAACTGTAATGAACAAAATGATAACAAAGAAATCAAATCATATTAGAGATATATAACAGCAGTAACAGCAAAGATTTTGAGAATGATAATATTATTTTTTTCTTTCCTTTTGCTTTACAATTGTAACTTGAAACTACATGGACAGATGTAAAATCTTTTGCAGGAACCTGATTAAATTAAGTTATGCCACAGATGGCAAGCAGGTATATGCAGTACCCACTGTGAGTTTAGTTTATTAATTATCTTTACATGCAGATGGCTCCACAAGTGCATAGTCAACAAGAAGTCAATTATGAATACTACTACCTTACCTGTTCACCCTTTTCCTTGACTTTGGGAAATATTATCTTTATTTCATTTTGCTATAGTAATGTTAATAACATTAAAATAATCATAATGTCTATAATGAAAATAACAGCATCGGTCTGATAGAATTAGTAAAAAATAAATAAATAAATAAATAAATAAATAAATACATAAATAAATAAATAAATAAAATAAATAAATACACAGATAAAATAAATGAATAAATACATAAATAAATAGAATAAACAAATACATAAATAAATAGAATAAATAAATACATAAATAAATACATAAATAAATAAATATATATAAATAAATCCATAAATAAATAAATAAATCCATAAATAAATAAATAAATTCATAAATAAATAAATAATAAATAAATAAATAAATAAATAAATAAATAAATAAATACATAAATAAATAAATACATAAATAAATAAATAAATAAATACATAAATAAATAAATAAATAAATAAATAAATACATAAATAAATAAATAAATGAATAATAAATAAATAAATACATAAATAAATAAATAAATACATACATAAACAAATAAATAAATAATAAATAAATAAATACATAAATAAATAAATACATAAATAAATAAATACATAAATAAATAAATAATAAATAAATAAATACATAAAAATAAATAAATAAATAAATAAATACATACATACATATATACAGACAGACAGACAGACAGACAGACAGACAGACATAAATAAATACATAAATAAATAAATAAATAAATAAAGCAAAGGGGAAATCAGGTGAGGTTACAAGGTCTATTTAATGACTCCTTGGAGGCTGAGCACTTGTGGACCCATCTATGTGTACAGACATTTCACAAAACAAAACTACTATGAACATTACATTTTCCTGGTGGCATTGGATTAAAAAGCACTTATTTACACAGGGAAAGGCAGATTGTCAGAATCTTATGTAAAACTGACAGGGTTAATAATTAATCCGTCTATGACTGCATAACTTCAGAACACAAGACCATAAGGTGAATCATTCACTATAACAAGAAAGCATTGAAACTTTACCTTGAGATGCAACAGGTGATTTGTGTTGAGGCTCAGGTAAAGGTAATGGCTCCAGAGCTAGCTCCAAAAATTCCAAAATGTTCGGGCTCACTGTTGTCTCTCTTTGTATACTCTGTAAGGTAAGCCAAGTAAAGAGAGAAGCTCTCTTCATGCCACTTGCCCCCACAGCACTCTTCCTTGATGTACTTCCCCCTTGGCTCCCACCACAGCCTGCTACTCCAGCTGGTGACCACCCTGCGCCTTCACTGAGGCCTCCACCACTTCCTACTGGTGTCTCTTCATGAATGTTGTGTGACTCATAATGTACCTGCAAAAGGTTACTTTGAATAAGCTAGCAGAATAATATTATTACAAAATCTATTCTACTACATTTATAATTCAACTCAAAAATCAAAACAGATATGAACAAAGTATCAAATTACTTCAAGGAACTCATCCGATCTTCACGATATTAAACTATTCATAAGTGATGAGGTACATAGTTTACCTTCACATCCAGTCCAGGAATGTAGAACACTGTGTCAGCTGATACTGAAAGCGATGGTGGAGGAGGAGCACGCAGTTTGTTTGAAGAGATATTGGGTCGACCTTCATTCTTTTTGCGAACTGATCCAGGACTTCCTGGGGTTTCAGATATACCACCAGAAAAACTTCTTTCTTTTTTCATCCTGGATTAATAAATGGACAATTTTTATATCATTATTTCTTATCAAATCAACAAAAACATCATTATTCAAAAATTCAATCACAAAACAATATAAATATTTTTTTCTAATCCAGGAAAACTGATGCTCAACTAACCTTTTTTCTTCTTCTCTTGAGATGCAACGTGTATAAAGATTGCACATTCCAGAACTAATGCATACTCTCACATCCAGCTCCAGGTCTATACTTGGGTCCTGTGGTTTAACAGTGCCTGAACTACTTGATCCTAGTCCCCCTGGAGTAATAGGGCCTGTATCAGAAAGAAAGACACATATATGTTTTCACAAGTATATGCTGATAATACAATGATCTGCCAAAGCTTATTCTGCTACTTTAACTATGAATTTTCATTTATTCTCCAAAAACAGAAAGAGTTCACATCATAATGTTTTATGCCATTTTAAAATAAAGGTTTGATAAAAATAAATAAAAAGTTGATATTGGAATATTTGCTGATTCAACAAAAAAGAAGGAACACTAGCTTTGTAAAAGAAAAAGAAGAATAAAAAAAAAAATAAAAGATGGTAACTATATACAAAAGTTGACAAGGAATTGACATGACCTCTTTGCATTAAATATGCTGGATTAAAATATCAAATACTCTTTCAGGAATGATAGTGTGAAAAATCAGAAAAAGAATGTTATCCTACTAAATAACATTTCTTTATAAAAATTCCACAGACATAGATTAATCTAGGTAACATTATTTTGTCATCTTAGGGTTGCTAACCTCTTCTAAATTCTAATTTTCCTATAGAAGATTTGCAGTTTAGTTTGCCAATCCAGATATTTTAATAGAAGTCTTTAACCCATAAACTGCATAGTTCCTGTTTTGAGTATATTCAGCAGTGAGACCATCATATGAAGAAAAATAGTCCATACTTTCATGGCCAGAGCTAGGGAAAGACTGACTAATTAAAAATGATGGTCTAAAAAATGCTGATTGCCATTATAACATGAAAAAATGGGATTGTAAATCTATTACAACATTTAAAAGCATCATTTGAAAATAAGGTTTTCAAGAGGCATTGTGCATCAGATGCTTAGCAGTTTTAGGGTTAATATCTTTCTATTGTTTCTCAAATGAATTGTGAATGTTTTTGTCAACCTTAGTTCTGATCTATAAAGATGACTGTTACCTGAGCTGTGACTGCTTGAATGACCAGACAAGGGTGCTGTACCAGTTCCCGGAGTGCTGCCGGTGCCACCCCCTTCGTCGTGGGTGATGCCTCTCCCTTCACCGGCTTCTGCAGTCTGTCCCCCTTCCTGGTCCAGCATGGTCACCAGTGCACTCAGACCCCCACAGCTCTTGCTCTCCATGCTGCCTACATTGTCACTGCTGCTGTGGAAAATACCTCACATTACTTTAATGAGAAAGGAAGAATGCAGGAAGGAGAAAAGGAAAGGAGAGAAGGAGAGGAGAATAGAAGGAGGGAAGGAGAGGAATGCAGAGAGAGAGAGAAGGAAAGAAGAATGGGAGAGAAGAAGAGAGGGAGAATACGAAATAGGGAGAGTAGAAGAGGGAGAAAATTAGACACTCAAAGAATTAGTGAGAAAGCAAGTGATGCTTTTATTGATCAATCAAATTACAATACAGCATATAACAATGGATATTACCATTATGTGGATTACAGCAAATGGAACCATATCTAAAATCTCTTAACAAACATTTAATTCTTTATCCTCATAATCAACAAGTATGATACATATATAATGTACAGGGTTAATAAAACCCTTTCTACACTGTACAAGATATAAAATTGAATACAAAATTGAAATAAACATATACCTGAAGTTAGTGATAGTGATAGTTTCTGTTTCTGTATCAGATACATTTGTAGGTGTTGGGGTTCTGCCATGCCCTGGTGTTGACAGGAACACATCAGAGTTGTCAATTTCATCCGTGGGGTAAGAGTCTGATGAGCCACTCGTGAACGACAAGTGCCGCCTGAAGATGAGATATCAATACATTCTAACCCATCATTTCAACCCAAGGTAAAATAGCTTGGAGACTGAAGAACAACACTTCAGGAAACATCAATATAAAACATGCTCTTTGTTTTTGTTATTAACCTTGTACACTAATAACACACAAGTCATCTATTAACATTACCCAATAGTCGATCCTTCAACAAATTTTACTTTCTGAGCTGCAGGGTCATTAGTGGAAGCAGTGTGGCAGGGAGAGCTGTCTACACTAATGGAAGCTTGGTCAATGCTCCCCCGACTTCCACAGTGCCTGTGGGAAGTTAGACCTGAGTAGCATCCTTAAAAAAAAAAAGCCTGACAACTATGTCTGAAAATTACTTGTTAGCACAACAATCATATAATTAGCATTTACTATTTACTATCTCTGTAATACTACAATTTAGTGAGAGAAAAAAAACACACACACAAAAGATTTTTAATCAATACAGCACAAATATAGGTGAAATGCAACAAACCATTAGACGTCTTTAAAAGTTTCAGTCTGCTAATATAAACTCTCATACATACCTGCATCATGTATGTAGGAATATTTCCTTTCCTGATAATCTGTTGTTCAATTACAGAACAATACACAGACATATACTACATTCTTTGGTTTAGCAAATAAAGCTTTTTCCTGATCAAGTTCTGGGTAACTTAAAGCAATGTTATATAAGCCTTCTCTGCTACTGTTTACTTTGGCTTGAGCTACATAAAGATCTTACTCAAAGTGATTGCTCTATCTATCACATTGCATCCTAGTCTTAGCTATATGCAACTGTAAAACCATCAAGCAAAACCATCAAGAGCTTTGCCGGGTATCAAAGTTCTGGGGCCTGTTGGTACCTATTAGCTCGCTAGAATTATCATGCAATGTCTATTCAACACAATAAATTTTGGCGAGTCCAAGTGATTGGCTATAAATAGGGACTACTGAAGGCTAGCCTTCTGTTTTCCAACTTGATGGATGGACAGCATAACAAATCTTTACTATTCTTTTCTCATACACTACAAATCACCCATCTCATTCATATATACCCCTAACTTGTCTACAGCATTTATCTTTAAAAATTTTGCCATTTCAAATATATATTATCATATGCCTATATAATTTTATGCTGACCATTACTGTATTCCTCAGGTAATTTTCACTCATTGTTTTTTACGTTTACAAATTCATGTAGACATGCATATCCAATCATGATTCTTACAACTGAAATTAACAGTAGTCTAATCACGCAAAGAAACACATTATGTACTTACACAGGTTCCTTAACTTCGATGGTTGGTGAGGGCACCTTGAAGCTCTTGGACCTAAGATGAGACTTGGGGCCCAGGCCAAGGCGGTCCTTCATTGAGGTTGCCTTAACACTCTGTCTGCGTAGCTTCTTGATCACATCACGACGGAAGTCATGGAAGACAACTGCTTCCAGATCCTGAAGGCGTCGCATTTCTTGCTCGATGGTAGAGGCTGAAGCACCTAACATCTTCAAATCATTGACAGTCTTCGCCTGTTCATTCATTTCTATCTCCAGAAGCTTGGCTCGCTGTCTGGCATCGAGGTTAGGATCAAATATGAAAGCTGGGAGGCTTTCATTAAGTGCTATCTGTCTTCTTCCTGAAGCTGATTCTTGCTGTAATACCAGGTTTAGAATTAGCTGACACAGTATACAAGGAGGAAAGGACCCATATCTTGAAAAGTTGTGATTATTACAATTATATTGAGCTAATCCACAAAGTTGAACAATACTCTACAAGTAATTAATTCTACTTAATAATTCACAACTGTTCTTATGAATCATAAATTACTTCCTGTTCTTCACAATTTTGTAATTTAAAATGTTATGAAATAATAACAAATCACATAAATGGGAGATAAAAATAAGATTAAGAATACTAAGCTGGCCTCAGAAAGGAAAAATAAAATCTGTTAAGAGAGAATATTCACAGAAATATTACTGCAATGGTATCAGAAAGGATGTTATCACAGACCTACACTTACACATTATCTCAAGATTTTTTATCATTATCTGTAGTCAGTTTTGTCACAATAACTTTTTAAGGGGGATGACATAAGGCATAAAGGAAACTTTCCAAACCTGTGAAGAAGAATGGTCAGTGTGGTCATCATCATCATCAGAATCATAACTAGATTGGGGTATGGCTGTGTCTGGGGCACCTGTCAACATGGTTAGTGTGCGAGCCAAGGCACTCAAATGTTTCCCAATGTTGACATCTAGATGAAGGTCAACTCCTTCCATCTGCCACATGACATTCAGAAGCCACTTAGCATTCTCTGCTGTTGGAAGAAAGAAAATGCATGCTTAGGAAAATCAGTAAATTTATACAGAAAATCTATACAAAAAAGTAATATAAAATGCCATATATACTAAGAGCTATACAGATTAATATCTTTTCTTTCTCTCATATATCAGTAAGTTGGAGAAAATATAAATACCTTTTTCTGGGTGTCCTGCAACAGTACGGCTGCACACTTCATATGTGCCCTCAGATACAGTACACAAGTTGATTGTTGGGTCCTTGAAATCAGGCTTCCAGTCATCAAGGCTTGTCTCAAACTCTGGTGCAAACCGCATGCAAAATCCTTTGAAGCGAGCCTTACATACCAGAGAGCCAGAGTTACAGGCAGATATGATAGTGCTTTCAAGTGTCACCACAAGAGCATCTCGTGTCTCTGTTGAATCAACCTGATGGCTTACCTGCACAACAGAACAGTTTATTCAGTACTGAATGCTGATGGTTATCTTACTAACTTCTAATACTAAATAAGAATTACTGATATATAGTCATACATTATATGCATCACATATATTAAAAGGCTTGCATTTAAATACAAATAGCAGCTATCTCAATATTTGTCCTTATCCTTGAACTCCCTAAAAAACTTACAGTGCGACATGGGTTAAGTGGAAGGCATATACCAATGTCATCTACTGTCAGCTGTAGATAAACATTGTTCTTTATGTGAGCTGCTGATGAGAGGGACGAAAACTGAGGAACTTTCTCAAAGACTTGCTGTGTAGCTGTCAACACTTCCTGTTTTTAAAAAATATATTTTTATTTGTCAGTATTAACAGAAAGAATAATTTCTTTAATACAAGTATTTTCCATATTTCTTGTTCACAATCATTTATCATTTCTGCAATAACTATCTACAACATTTTGCAACTGACAAGTACTAATACTAATTTATAAACATCTAAAAATTAAAAGCTGAAATCAATATAAATTATTGTGCACTATATAAACCCAAAATAATATATTTGCTAAAAGCAGAACAAGAAGTCATACAAAATAACACTATAGAATATAATAAAATACATATGCAATAAATCAATGGCATTACCTTATTGAGAGAAGCGCGTTGTTCACTCCAATATTCATAGGCATTCTTGTAATTCAGCCAAACAAGGACAGCCCTGTCCACAGCAAGAGGCTGAACACACACTAGAGGTCGTGTGAGGGTAATGAGCACAACTTCACCATCGTCACCTACGCTCATCATCTCATTATAAAGAGCATTCCTTAAATCTGTAATTTACAATAATATCCAATTTAAACTCAGCATTCTTTTATCCATGTGTACGTGGTTGTATGTGTGTATGTGTGTGTGTATGTGTGTCTGTATGTATGTGTATCTGTGTGTGTGTGTAGGGTGGGTGTGGACATGCATGTGCACATACATGTTTGTGTATGTGGTTATCATATGCATATTATGGGTGGGTGAGTGGGTGGATGTATGGGTGTGCAGTATGTGAAGACAAATATTTATCAAATATATCTAAATTTCAAGCAGTCTTTTCTATGCTTCCTCAGTGTAAGCAACATGTAATTATGCAGAACTCCTTTGCTCTATGTTCAAAAGAAATCTCTCTTGTAATTTAGTCTATTTGTAACAATTAAACAAAAAAGCACACACTTACAAATTCTGGTGCGGAAGAATGCCAATTGTTGGAACTCCGGCTCAGCTTCTTCAAACATGTCATTCCTTAGGAGTTGGCCCAGAGCTAAATTGATGTCCACCTGAGCAGTTGTCAAAATTAGGCAAAGGGTTATGATCTATAATTTGTGATACAAAGTAATTGGGAAATTCTTTTCTTCATCTTAAAATCATGAGATATTAACAAAAATACATATACATGTATGTTAACGAATATGACAAATACATATATCAAACTAACCCTGACAACCTATTTCAATAACTTAAAAGTGTAAAGATATAGAAAGGCCATGATATAAATATTTTCTCATTTTTCCCAAGAACTTTTTTGTTTTGTTTTGTTTCAGTGGTTTGTCTTTGTCTGGTAGGACAGATATACAAATATATCAACAGTGTATTGTATTGTTCCATCTTACACAGAAATCCCTGTACACCTAGCATTGCAATTTAATTTGAGAGTCCTTGTACTGAATGCAAATGTGTAAAACCTCACCATCATACTAAAGTTTATGGAACTAATGTTTATGGAACTAATATGATCCTAAAATGGGTTTTATGGACATGGATGTTATATCTATAACCATATGATATAGCATTATTCCATATCAAATACAAGTTATGAACATAAATCATGTAAAGCCTAGGAATATATATTGATAACAATATAGTTCAAAATAAAATACATACAAAAATAATAATTCTACATTATCAAGAGCTATAACAGAGCAGAAACTACTGTGTCAGAATAATAAATATGTGTAAAAATAAGCAAAATGTCCCTCCAGGCAAAACACTAAATTGAAGCTGATATTTTTCCAGCATGTGTTGCATCAACAAATCTGAATAGTGGCATTTGGGGTCAGATATTCAACCTGTAATTCAAACCAAAACTCATCTTAAAGGCACTAACCTGAGCCTTTCCAAAAATCTTCATAGGCTGCGATGGATCAGAGAATGTGTGGCTTGGACGGCTGATGTTCTCCACTCGATTGCTCAGTTGCAATTCAACGACTCCTGTTTCCAACCTCACAGCAGACTGAGTTGGAGTTGTTGCTGTGATGATGATACCCTGAGCAAAAAATAAATAAATGTAAGTAAACACACCAAAAATGCATAAGCAAACACTAAAGTGTCTGTGTCCGTATCTGTGCCTGTGTCAGTATCTGTGTGTCTGTGTCAGTATCTGTGTGTCTGTGTCAGTATCTGTGTGTCTGTGTCTGTGTCCATGTGTCTGTCTGTGTGTCTGTGTCTGTTTGTGTGTTTGTATGTCTGTGTCTGTCTGTGTGTGTGTGTGTGTCTGTCTGTCTGTGTCTGTCTGTCTGTCTGTCTGTCTATCTATCTGTCTATCTATTTATCTGTCTGTCTGTCTGAGTATCTGTCTGTCTGTGTCTGTCTATCTGTCTGTGTCTGCCTATCTGTCTGTGTCTGCCTATCTGTCTGTGTCTGTCTGTATCTGTCTGTCTGTGTCTGTCTGCTTGTGTCTGTCTGTCTGTGTCTGTCTGTGTTTGTCTGTCTGTGTTTGTCTGTCTGTGTCTGTCTGTCTGTGTCTATCTGTGTCTGTCTGTCTGTCTCTGTCTGTCTGTCAATCAATCAGTCTGCCAATCAATCAATCAATCTATTTATCTATCTATCATTCAATCTATCTATCTATCTATCCATCCATTCTTCTATCCACTTATCCACCCACCCATCCACCCATCCATCCAACCATCCATCCATCCATCCTTCCTTCCATCCACTTATCCATACATCTGTCCATCAGTCCACCTGTCCATCTGTCTGTCCATCTGTCTGTCTACCCATATATCATATACTGAATATGTTGAGAAAAATACCTTTTCCAATTTCTGTGGACTTTTGGAAAACTAGTTAGTAATACACATAACTGCCATCTATCAATTTCGCTACTTCCCAAAAATCATCTACATGGCAATACCTAAAAGTTCTTGGAATTTTGAACACTGGTAGCAAATGATATGGAGTTGGACAGTAGCAATTGGGAACTACAGTAAATTTCTGAAACGAATTGGTAGCATCTCAGTGTAGCATAAGAATTCCTGATACATAAAGTCAATTTAGCCACAATACAGACAGGAAAAAGAAATTCCCCTATCAAATCAAGATTTTTGTCTACAATGACACTGAGAAACTTGTAAGAGCAAAAAAGAATAAGAAGGACTCCAGAACTTTATTTCAAACTTTCTTACTTTCAGTCGCAGCTGCAGAGTGAAGAGCAAGCGACGAGGTTGAGTGACATGGCTTGGTCCCTCCTCAGTCCACAGAGGCACTGGTTTGTCTCCTCCAGCCATTTTCTGCACAACTTCATTAACTTCCTGTGCCACAAATTATCAACTTTTAATTCAAATACAGTAGCTGAAATTATTTCAATATTCATATTTCAAAGAAACCAATAAATACAGGCATTACAAACAGATATAGGGATATACACAAAAGAAAGAAAGGCAATCATCCTGACCTTCATGAACACTTTCTGCACAAAGACCAGGTGATTCAGCAGGTCTGTGGTCAGGCTGTGCTCCAGAGCACCAATTTCTGCCACAGCACTAAGGTAGCTGCCCTCGCGCAACACCATCCCATCTGCTGCTATAAGTTTGGAAAAAAAGTTTATGACAACAGAAGTTTGATAGTGTGATCCATAGGTCTTCAAAAGTGATGATTTACATTCAATACATTAAATGAACTGAAATCAATTAAGTAATTAGTA